CTCCACCTAGCTATATTAGACTTAAGTACAGTGGTTTTGTCCCATCCACCCTATTGTGTGGTTGTGTGTTAATGAATGTAATGCAATGGCCGAGTGTTTTTCTAGATTATTGATCTTATTGGGGTCTGCCGTTCTATGTTTAACTAAATTCCTATGTTCTGCTAATCTAACTGACCCCGACCGGGTTTAGTCAAATGTCTAAATAACAGAGCTAAGAAACTCACTAGTCATTGTAAGGACTTAAATAAGGAATTGAAACACATAAAAGAAGTGTTAATAATTATTTCCATCATTTTATTAAGAAATTCACACAAACACATAAGAAGCAAAATAATAACACTAATACAAATACAAATAATAGTGACAACATCAGTAGAAAGGAAATCAACACCTCTATTGTGATACCATACAAGGAAGGAACATCAGAAACCATACGTAGGATTCTCAACAAGGTTGGAATTAGGGTGGCATTTAAACCAACAAACTCACTTAGAGGTAAGCTTTGTCGGCTAAAAGATCCAATAGAACCAATTAGGCAAAATAATATAATCTACCGAATTCCATGTAATGACTGTGAGGTCAAATACATAGGTCAAACTAGCCGGTTGGGATCAATTAGATTAGCAGAACATAGGAATTTAGCTAAACATAGAACGACAGACCCCAATAAGATCAATAATCTAGAAAAACACTCGGCCATTGCATTACATTCATTAACACACAACCACACAATAGGGTGGATGGGACAAAACCACTGTACTTAAGTCTAATATAGCTAGGTGGAGAGAGAGAGAGATTAATTACTGAGTCTTAGTTCATCGAATCCACACCCGACACATGTAATATGAATGACGCAACACCTATACCAGAGATATGGAAAACTTTACTACCAATCAAAAGACAAAAACAAAGAAAAATCAGGTGACAGGACAATAAAATCAGATATCGAAACTTGTGTGTGATTACATTGATATGATTATGAGCAGTAATAATTTATGCTCGAAACGTAATCAAGTAAATAATACTGTATCACTGTGCGCTATATATCAAATAAACAAATCTAATATGGAATTTAATTCTTCATCTTCATTTTCTAATTCATATGAGTGAACTGGATTTCATCTACTACCTAGTTAATGTTTATAAAAAATATTGTGATTATGATCTGATTTCAACACAGTAAATGTGGCGTCTACACATTGTCATTATGCTTTTGAGGTGGCCTGAAATATTCCTAATACTATTTGTTCCTAACTGTCCATGAATTTGTTTGCTACGATAAGAGATATTGGAAATCTCATCGCTATTCCTTCTGTTTTTTGATACATTTTGTCTTGAAATTTTAAAACCTCATAAGTGAGACATATTCGTGTCACTATCATGATTTCTTAAATCGAAAATTTAGTTCTGTTCTTGAGTTTATGGTCAGTGGTGAGTTCATTTCTGATTGCATTGAGTGCTACCATTAAAATAAAAGAATAAAAAAGTGTTAGACTTCTTTCAGGACAAACGTAACCACTAAGGACTGGATGTTGATAATCTACATAAAGGAAGTTTGAAAGTCGTATGATTATACTGATATGAATATGAGAAATAAATCCAAGTGTTATTGCTTGTATTTTATTGTCGTTGATTGGACCGAATTGATCAGTCTCTATTGGTATATGGGCGCCTGTGCAGATGACTCGATATTACCTGTGTTCTAAGTATAGAAATGGTGAATAGTGGCTAGAAGTGGTATCCAGGATACGCATTCCATCCTATTTGGGACTCATCAGCTGGATATACCTGCCTCCTAGTGAGTGATGTTGTTCCCGCCAGGACTTGATCTCCGGGGCGATCGCTTCAAACGCCAAAGCGTTATTCACTAACCCCGATGGGAACAACATGACTCACTGGGAGGTCGGTACATCCAGCTGGCTAGTCCCAAATAGGACGAAATGCGTATCCTGGATACCACTGTTAGCCACCATCCATCATTACTATATAAATGAATTCTATTCGAAATGTCATCCAATAAATACGACTGTATCACTGTGCGTTATATCAGATAATCGGGCTATTATGGAACTATACCATACCTTACTGGATTCATCTAGTGTAGCAGTAAAGTAAACTGATACCAATTCATTAGGGATACTAAAAGAAAATGGCTTCCAAGTTTTCTGCTTACTTTAATTTATTTCTTTTCTATGGATCTGAACTCCTTAATTTGTCATGTAGGACAAAGGGACTGTAAGTGAATGTAAAAGTTATTCCAAATGAGATCCAATCTATACAATTTTGTGGACAGAATATACGGCTTATTCTTTTCATTTATCTCAGAAACATTCTATCAACAAATTTTGGAATCATTTTGAGTTGATTCACCGACAAAAGTTTTCAAGAGGATAAAAACGATCCGATTAGGGTTTCATTTGGTTTTAGTAATTTTTTTCACTGATTGATAAAGAGTTGCTTCTTCCTAGCTATCTGACGGAAAACATTAAGAGTAAGTCGCAGTGGGCAGTAACCAACCGGTACTTAACACATACCATATTTTTATTATCTGAAGGCTCGACTGTATTGATCAAGATGGATGTAGCGGTGATTGACTGTGATGAGATTACCGAGAAAATATATAATATTGATCAAAGCTCACTACTTGAACTCACACAGCTGTGTAAACGTTTATAAAGAGTTATTATTTGGAACAACAACAAACAGCGGTGCTTGTTGAGGATCCCTGCTGCCACTGTTTCCATTTGTGGTGGACCTCTGACATGACTAGGATTGACTTACTTTAAAAACAGAACCTGGCAAATGACATTTTCCTGTTAAGTCAAGACGTTGGAAAAAGCAGTCTTCTTATCACTTTGAGTATATATATATATATATATATATATATATATATATATATATATATATTTTGCGCCTATCAGATGTAAAGTGGCGGAGTAGTCTACACGAACTGACAGTTTGTGAAATGATAGGCGATACCAACCATTTTACTTATTTGAAGGTATGCATCACCCTAAATGAATTCATTACTGTGGAAATCACAGTCTGTTTGTTACTTGCCAGCTTATGCAGATCATTCCATCGGTGAGATATCCGACTATCTGTTAAAGGACGAGTATACTGTGCAGCAATGCGTTCTGTCTAATCATACAGCTGAGAGAAAATCTCAAATCAGATAATACATCAGTTAGAAGAGATTTCAATAGATGCTCACTAATTCATTCTGATGCAAGGAGTGAAAATGAGAAGGAACATCTGTGAACATTTGAAATCATTTAGATGATTATTGTGGTATTCAGGTAAATCATAATTGATAAATTTAATCATTGACAGATCTTACCATACAAACATTGACCCAAATTATTATGCATATAGATGATCTTAATTTTATTATTATGATGACCTTTTTCAATTAAATAATTAAATTTTGAGGAGGTTGTGAGGATGAATACCAACTTAATAATAATTTTGCAGCGATTGAATCATATAAATAATAATTTTAATAAATAATTAATGACTGAACTAAATATATGTAGGGGAATCTCATTGAACTACGAAGTATTTACACACTGAAACAGCACTAGACGTCATTAACCACACTGGATACATTTAACATCTGAAAAATTTTTGTTTGTCTAATTTACTGAATTTATTCCGTTTACCAAAACCAAAAGAATTTGTTAACAACACATTATACCACAATTATGAAAGTGTCCTTATCAAATGAAGCATGGTGTTATGTTACAGACTTTTCTAGGAATAGACACTACCAGAAGAATAACATATGTAACCAAGGTATATCGATCGAAATCCCTAGTAATACTTTAGAATATCTTCATCTTGTTTTAATCACATTAAATTATAGCTCTGTGATAAATGAGAATAGGGAAACAGCATCATCGTTGTTAAATAGTTTCATGCTAGAATATTACAACAAACATCAATCACCATCAACGGGAGAAACCCAAAGGAAGTTATTTCTTTCACCTACCCACCTACCTAGGCAGCATCATTTCAACTACAGGCCGCGGCACAGGCACAGATCACGATGTCAAAGCCAGCCAGGATCGGAAAGACAGCAAGACAGTCATTCATTAACCTGAAATCAGTGTGGAGATCTTCTACAATCAGCACAAAGAACAAGATTCGGATTTTTAACACCAATGTCAAGCCAGTTCTTCTATATGGTTAAAAAACTTGTCGGGTTACGAAAATCACTTTCAACAAACTACATACATTCATCAACAGCTGTGGCCTACACTCACTCAATACTGAAGATCAGATGGCCAGAATAATAGAAATAAGCAACAAGGAACTGTGGTTGGTAACGTATCAACCAACCAACAACCTATCACCCAACAAATATGCTCTGGAAGAAAGTTGAGATGGATTGAATTGGGCATATACTGAGAAGACCATTCGGAGACATCACACGACGGGCCAGCCCTCGAGCGGAATCCAGATGGGAAACGACGAGTTGGGCGTCCTAGGCGAATGTGAGATGGAGGAGATGATGTGATGAAGAAATGAAAGCTTGTGGATAGTGGTGGATATAGGTTGAAAGAGTGTAGAGAAGAGAGTGGAATGGAGGCGTGCTACTGAAGCCCTATATTCCACTAGGAGCCCATGGGACAAGTAATCATAATAATGATAACAATAATAATAATAATAATAATAATAATAATAATAATAATAATAATAATAATAATAATAATAATAGAATATTACAGCTTTAGAAGACTGTCTGGTTCTATTTGAAGGCATTTAATGGATTAGATTTTCTGTTTTCAACGTGTATCTGTTGTTGAAAATCCAGTATACTTGCTAAAAGGGAGCATATCATCTTTTATCATACGCTACTTTATTAAAAATCTTATACAGTCTCCTACATACAGTTAATTAACTGAATACACTCACATATTCTTTAAAAACTACCTACACTATGTATTGATTGGTCTATTGATTCAACTTATGTATATACTAGATCATACTTTAATCTAGGAAAGATCATTCCCAAGATCCCATCATCAACACTCTTCCCTTCCTAATCTATTTTAAATCAGAAAAAAAGAAATCACCACTATCACTGTAAATGAGATCTAGATCACAGAATTATACCTCGGGTATAAATATCACATCTAATAGATTGTCATCTGACGATCATCATGAATCATTCCACAGCAATAAACAGCATATCGGTGAAGATGTAAATAATGTTGAAGATGAACGAAATATTATTGAATTTACAGATTTGCAAATTCCAAGACAAAATTTTCCAATTAAACCGTATTTAGCATTTGATAGCCTATTGTTAGACAGTCATAATTGGAAAATGCATATCAGACAAGAAAGATTTCAGCGGAAAGTCTACTTAATCATTGGCTTTATAATATTACTTGCATTCACATTGTCACATATACCGATTATAATGTGGAAACGGTGGAAATTTAACCAGTTGACATTGAAAATTGAACAAATTAATAAACATTTAACATTGGACCGGGATGTTCATAATGCTTGTATCATAACTAATTGTGCTATATTATGTCCAAAAGTAACAAATATAACAAACTGGTATACATTATATAATTTACCTTATGCAACATTACCGCATCAAAATGCTTATTTTGCTGAATCCACTACACCATATACATTTGAAGAATGTTATTTAGCTTATTGGCATAGTGTATCCAAGTATAAGAGACGATTTAAAGATGGAAGGATACAATTTTTAGGTCATGAAGAATACAATGATGATGTTACAGAGTGTGCACAACTAAGAATACGTAATAATAATTCACAAGAAAAAACACCAATTGGTAAACCACATTCATGTTTAACTTTAAGTTTTCATTTCCCTCAATATAATGCAGAAAGAAATAAGAAATTACCAATTGTTGTTTATTTAGGTGGTGATTATTTATTAAATCATAAACCAAGATTAATTTCACCGAAAATGGCAGCTGATTTGCAAATTATTTATATTACAATCAATTATCGATTGGGTATATTCGGTTTCTCTGATTTTAATCTACATATTTCTGGTGCTAATAATGCTGTAAATGATGTACGTGAAGCATTAACATGGATTCAAACCTATGGGCATTTATTTTCAGGGAATACATCATCAGTTATGATTTATGGAGAGAATTCTGGTGCGACAATTGGTGCTGTTCTATTAGCTTCGAGTAAAAATGATTTGATTTATATAAATGGAAGGTAAGTGAACAGCACAAAATGTTACTATTGTTTTTTAAACAAAAATAATCTAAGATGTATGTTTCGTCTTATTTGGGACTCGTCAGCCGGATGTGCCTACATAAATATTCAGGGAATATTGAGGCATTCACATAGAAGCTCATACGTAAACAGAGGTCGAACAATTCAATCCAGTATAACAGTAGAGAATTACAAATAATACCTTCTTTAAAAGTAGTATTCATCATGGACTGATATCAGTTGGGGAACCATTGAAAACCTGGGACCACTGGACAGCTGTTTCATCATCGTATAGGACTCCTCAGAAGTACGCAACCAGGGCCCGGCTACGGAGCGAACTCAAGACCTTCAGATTTCACGGCGAACGCATTAACCAGCCGGGTCGTGGGTGCGTACTGCTCAGGAGTCCCATACTATGACGAAACAGCTGTCCAGTGCTCCCAGATTTTCAATGGTTTCCCAACTGATTTCAGTCCATGATGAATACTACTTCTAAATTAAAAAATCCCCATTCATCTCAAAAATATCTTTATCAAAAATGTTTATTTTATCCTATAAACTATTAACGTACAACATGGGAATTATACTTTAAGACAGTGTCTATCATCTCTTGGCTTATATTACATAAAATGTTTAGATTACAGAATTGAAGAGAAATTGTATAAGATTATCATTATATAAATGAAATAATGAATAATAATTCATTAATATCTTTATTAGCTACTTTCGGAAAGAACAGAAAACTTTTTATCACTAAGTACTAAGTTCATCAAAATTGTACGTGTGATCAACAAAAAAATATCACCAGTTTTTGGAATGACGAAAATAACCTTCCCTCATGTGACGTAACAGTAATGTCGAGTCTGTAAATCATTATACTCTTCAGTGATTCATTTATTTATTTATACTTGTGATGACACGTTATTTCACTGATATGATGTTAATTTTATTTCAGTTTAATTCATAAAGTAAGTGTGATAGACTCTTCTGAATATTAGGACATAATGACTATTGTAATGATGGTTAGTGGCTAGCAATGGGAATCCACGATACGCATTTTGTCCTATTTGGGACTCGTCAGCTGGATGTACCTGTCCCCCAGTGAGTGATGTTGTTCCCACCGGGATTTGAATTCTGGAGCGATCGCTCGAAACACAGGGGTGTTATCCACCACAATAGCTACTCCTTGTGCGACGGGTACAGTTTTAGTGTTATTGCTTATATTATACCGTCGCTGATTGTACCAAATTGAAGAAATCGGTCCCGAGTTCGAGTCCCGTTGGGAACAACGTCACTCACTAGGAGGCAGGTATATCCAGCTGACGAGTCCCAAATAGGACGGAACGCGTATCCTGGATACCACTTCTAGCCACTATTCACCATTTCTATACTTAGAACACAGGTAATATCGAGTCATCTTCACAGGTGCCCATATACCAATAGAGACTGATCAATTCAGTCCAATCAACGACAATAAAATACAAGCAGTTATACCAAAACATAATGATTATCATTAAGACGAAAACCTAGATGATGACAGAATCCTCACACGTCTACTGACTCCATGATCTACCTACTGGATCAGTGTTGATTATCATTTATAAACAACGTGATCTGAATTGTCTCCATCTACTACTTAGACATGAGATAACTCCTAAAGGTTTTATTTCTCGAAGAAGCGGCTTGCATAGGGTGATCCTGAAGTTTATGAAAATCGATAATGTAGTTCAACAATGCTTACTTTATAAGGATAAAAGACATACCAGTGAAACCTCATATTTAGTCTGTAACGACCAGCTGTTTTTAGGTTTTTGTCTAGCTCGTGGGTAAGTACGTTGTTATAGGGGCGGCGTAGAAAAGTGTGAGTTTTTAATGGTGACCACGAGAATCTGGTAGAGAAAAGAGGAAGAGAAAAACGTGAGCCAGCAAGTACACAGAATATAGTTACATTCAGTGGTAAAAGATATTTAACAAACGATAGAGCTTCACAGAGAAGTGATGCGGCAGTCTGAAGATTGAAAGTGGAAAGAGGATAAGTAAAGTTTCAAATGTGTTAGAAGTTTTCTATGCTTAAACTGATGGATCAGAATTTAATGACAGTTACCCTGTAAATTCAGTCATCTGCAATCCGACGTCGACAATAATCAGATCCATGAAATTCACAATATTCTCTTTATTGGTGATGTGTTTCATCCTTACAATACATATCTGGTAATAATCAAGAATATATCATAAAGCTTGAAACTATTTTCTTTCTAATCAAAGACCATGAAAAAACCATTAAAATCACATGAAATATGCATGAATGAAATATCATAATGATTTCATATGTGTTATAAACACAGAGCAAGATATACTGAAGCTATACACAGGTTTCCATAGTGATTATTTGTAGATGAAAAATCGATTTGATCAGACAAAGAAATAATGACAAAATTTGAAGTTATCGACTTTCAGCTGAATGTATAAATGTTCCTATCATTCAATCAATCAATATCAACATAGGACCAGGCATTACTGCGTAACGGTCCCACTTGCCACACCTCATATCAGTAAGTCAAGTAAAAAGGTAGTAAGGTGAAGGATGAAGAAAAGAGAATGCAGTCAAAAGAAATATAAAGTACGAGAAGAAAGAAAATAGGAGTGACAAAATGGTGAGATTCGGTATAGTGTAGTTAAGATGAGGATAATGTGTGTATAAATCTGCACCACTGACATCGGTTCTGAGCCACATCACCTATAGTAAGTCTCCAACCACTGATTCCTCTTGTCCCGCCAACCCCAACCACCTAGTCTGCATCGTCCTACATGGCTTAAACCAACAGTCAGAGACTTCATACATTGGTGCCATGTTTTAGTCTGGCCACCTCGAGCCTTTTCCCAGCCTGGACCCACCTCAGCCAACATTGTGTGACCAGGCAATCGGTGACTAGGCATACGTAGTACGTGTGCCAACCATATCAGTCGATGAAGGTTCACAACCTCGTCAACTGACTTACCTCTTCCCCCCAAAACTCCACGCCTGAATCCTGCATTACTCACGTGGTGACACCACGGAATACGTCCTATACTACGAAGGCAACGGTGGTCAAACACCTCAAGCCCTTTTATATCTTCCACTTTCAATGGCCATGTTCCTATAGGACCTTATAACTAAGGTAATAGAGATTTACGGGTTGAATGGTTAAATTACTTAGTGAATTGAACTAACTCATTAGTATAGCGCAAATGTATTAGTAACTTGTCATATAAGAGAATTTTCCAAACTCAATGGTCTTAATTTTATTCTTTAATATAAGCGTAAAACATGGGGACTGTGGTAGAATGTAATTCCATTCTACATTTATTCACTCGATATCTTCAACACACAGTGGTACAGTATTACTTACATGATGACATTTCAAGCATAAACTATTGATTCAGTCTGGAGGTTTTCAGAGAATTATTAATTGATTTCAGGTTGAAATTCATCATGGACTGATATCACTTGGAGGAACATTGGAAACCTGGGAGCACTGGACACCTGTTTCATCTTAGTATGGCACACCCCAACAGTGTGCACCCATGACCCCTAACCGGTAGGGGTCAAATCCATTCATCCATTGCGTCACACACAATCCAGTGATCCATATTTCCCACTTCTGTCAGTTCACGATATAGCGCCACCTTAATCCAATGTCAACCAAGTCGAATATGAGGACAGTTATTCGACGAAGACAAAGGCCGGACTATGTTGTGAACTGATGGAAGTTGGAAATATAGACCATTAGATTCCAACCAGTGGCTCAATGATAATGCGCTGGCCATGGAACCTGAAGTTTCTGTGTTCGATCACCAGCGCGGTCGGATCATGGGTGAGCAATGCTGAGGAGTTCCATACTAGGACGAAACAGCTGTCCTGTGTTCTCAGGTTTCCAATGTCACTCCAAGTGTGTCCAGTCCATAATGAATTGCAACCTGACATACATTATTGGTCCCAATCATATCAGTACAATCGCACTCCTTCGACATTCGATTTTTATAGTCATGTCATCTCACATTCTTTGTTTCCATTCCTAGTAAAAATCTCCACATCTCTGGTATAGATGTTGGATCATTCCTGTTTCATATATGCTGATTGGGATTAGATTTGATGAAAAAAGATTCGATCTTTCTCAATGTCCACTTAATTATATTGTATTTGAGTATTTGAGTGGTTTTATCCCACCCAATGGTGTGATTGTGTGTTGATATATGCATTGCAATAGTCGAGATTTCCTCTACACTATTCATCATATTCGGGTCTATCATTCTATATTTACTCAAATTTCCATGTTCCTCTATTCTGACTGACACCCACCGGCTGACAAGTTTCACCTATATACTTGACTTCACAATCCTTACATGGGATTTGACACATTAGATAATCTTGCTGAATTGGTTCTATCGGACAAAGTTTATCTGTGAGTGAGTTTGTAGGTTCGAATACCACCATAATTCCAGGTTTGTTGAGGATCCTATGCAAATTTTCTGATGTTCTTTCCTTATGTGTTAACACAATGCATGCTGTGAACTCCTTCCTACTCATGCTGTCGTTTTTATTCTAATACGTGTTACTGTTATTATTCCACTTCTTATGTATTTATCGGAATTTCTGAATGAACTGTGTAGGATAATTATTAATTATTGGGGCTTCTTTTATGTGTTTCAATTCCTTGTTGAATTCCTTTCACTGACTAGTCAGTTTTCTAACTCTATCATTTAGACATTTGACTAAACCTACCTTAAGTGACATTAGATGAAAGGACATGTAGATACGTGTTAGAATGCATCGGTTTCCTGTAGGCGGTAGTATCCAAACCATCGTTTCAGATTACTGTCTTCAAACTATCAGAAAAGTATAGTGGAGTAATAATACACACAAAAAGTACAGCATTTCATGTTATTCTGCTGGAAAACAACACCAAAGAATAGAAAAAACAACTGAAGTATAAAGATATTAAATTAAACGAGAACTGTAT